GAAGGGCTGGGGGGCTGAGGAAGGGCTGGGGGGCAGAGGAAGGGCTCCACCAGGGTAGCACGCAGGCCTCGGGGCGTTAGACCAGGTGCCAGGGCTCCCCCCGGCCCTCAGTGTGAAGTCCAGCCCTCTCTTTGGTACAGGTCCTTTAGGGGTCACTTTCTCCCAAAAGCCAAGTGGCTCCTAAAAGGTTCTTCTGCCCCAAACTTGTAGGAGGGGCCCACCTCCAACCCCCTCATACCTTTGCCACCCGAGGGCCCTCCAGCCTCCTCCTGCAGGTGGGGAATGGTGGGTGCTGCATCTTCCCACGGCAGCGGTGGCCTGGCTGTCCCCATTTTGCTCTTAATGCGGAGGCTGTACTGGCGGGCCAGCTGGTAGACCTTGTTCTTGACCTTCTCGCTCATGTGGCCGTCCATCATGTGGGAGAGCTGCACTATGCAGGGGTGCAGCGGGGCCGCCAGCTCTCCCTGGGAGCCACTGCTCAGCTCCTTCACCAGCTCCTTCAGCTCCCGGGCCAGGTGGGCCGGGCTGGGCCGCCCGGTGGGGGAGGCGCTCTCCGGGGAGGCAGTGACCGACTCTTCGGTGATGGCTCCCAGCTCGTGCTCCTCCAGGATGAAGAGCGGCTCATGCAGGTCAAAGCCATTGGCCTGGCCTTGGCCCGGCCCCTTCCGAGGACTCCCCCCAGAAGACTCCATCCCCTCCCAGATCTTCAGGATTTCCGAAGACGGGCGGAACTCAGCGTCTGTGATAGGAGCTGGGTCCCCAGCACCGGCACCCGCCTGGCCTGGTCCCGGGAGGTCAAACAGGGCCCAGGAAGCTGGCCTGGAGCCCGCCTGTCTCTTGTGCCCCAATGGGGCCACCGGCTCCGGGTCCTGCTTGGGAAGGTTGTTGAACCTGGAGACCGAGTTTCTCACCAGGCCCTTGGGGATGTAGGAGAGGCTCTCCCGGCGCCGGACGCTGAAGCCCGCGTCATGGTGCTCTGCGTTCTCGTAGTAGCTCTTGATTTTGTCCAACAGCAGCCGGTCCCGGGTGGAGAGCATGGATTCCTTCTTCTTGCAGGAGGACCTGTCGGTCTCCGCTGAGCAGCCCGGGCCTGGGGGCTCCGTCCCATTGACAGAAGGGCCACTCTCTTTGGCCACCCCTACACTGAGGTCCACTTCGGGGGGGAGCTGAGCGCTGAGGGCGTCCGTGGTGCTGCCACAGCGGGCCAGGCCCTTCTCGCTGCCCTCCAGGCTGAGCACACTGCTGCTCCGGCTGGTCAGCCTCGGGGTCGTGAAGCCAGTGGACTTGCCGTCCTCCAGGGCCAGGCTGCTCCGCTGGGAGAAGCTGCTGACGAACCGCTCGGCAATGACACTGGCCTGGTCCAGCACAGAGGGCGGCAGGAGGCTCTCGGGCTCCTGGGCAGCCCCCGTTTCCTCCTCCTCCTCCTCTTCCTCCTCCTCCTCTTCCTCTACCTCCTCCTCCTCTTCCTCCTCGCTGCTCAAGGCCTTCATGTCCTCGGTGCTCTCGGCCACCGCGAAGTCCACCACGTCGCTCGGGTGGCCCAGCCCCAGCGGCTCCTGATGGGCATCCAGGACTTCCGGAGACTCCGTGTCCGAGGGCATCTCCTCGGCGCTGGGACCCTCCTCGGCAGCAAACACCTCCAGCTCTGCCCCAGGCTCGGGGTCCGGCTCAACCTGGGACAGCAGAGAGCTCACATGAGACGGGGATGAGGGACAGTGCGACTGCTCAACGCCTAGTGACAGGGGCTGCGGGCTTAGGACTGAAGGGGCAACAGGTCCTGAGGGAGAGGCACGTGGGGCTGTTCCTTGGTGACCCTGCAGCTGGGGTGCTGGGCCCATGTCCTCAAAGCCAAGGAAAAGTCTAGGAGCGCAGGCGGGGAGAGCGGTGAGCCTGTGCAGCCTGTCTGGGAGCTACAGGGACCGAAGGAGCACACACACAGGGCCAGCACGCCCTGCCCAGTGAAGCAGCTCCCTGAGCCCTGGAGCTCCCCACATGGGGGTGGTCCTGGGTGCAAACCCCAGGCCTGAGCAACACGAGAGGCCACTCCTACTTCCCTGAGGGGCCAGGGTCTCCCATGTGGCTCAGGGTCCAGCGGGGG